AGAGAGAGAGAGAGGGAGAGAGAGAGAGAGAGAGAGAGAGAGAGAGAGAAATCATATTGTTTCTATTTTTAAATATTGGGGTGTTTTTGAGTTATTGTTGAGTTTGAATTTTTAAAAATGGGCCTATCAAATAGATTTTTTGGGTTTGAACTCAAAAATTATTTTTGAGTTTAATAAATTGGATCCAAGTAGGATACCAAACGGGCGGATGAGAGTTTCTTTTTTAATAAAAAAAAGAAACATAAGACTACAAGGTTCGCCTCTACGTAAACCACCACCCTAAAGATCCAAAGCTAAGGCCACCCAAGCTTGACAGAGTGCACCCATAAATGATAATCTTCAAATTGATGACCAAGTCTTACAAGAGCATTAGTTAGGAAATTCCCTTCACACAAAATGTAATGAAAACTCAATTGTTCAAGTTGATCTTGCAAAAAGGACATGTTCTGCATGACACATTTAATTATCTAAGGAGGGCAACAACGACCATTGAGCTATCCTTTCAGCGTGGCAAACTTTAAACTCTAAGAGCATCTCGAAAGGAGATGTTAAATCCAACGTGGATGCCAAATTAGCTAAAACAAACTGCATAAATCACTCCAACCGAACAACTTAATTTTGACGGGGAATGGTGTCGACCCTTCAAGCGTTATTTGCATTTAATTTGCAACTTTTTAAATCAAATGGCTCACAAAGCATTACATCCATATAAAAAATAAAAGACAAAATAAAGTAGGCCCATTTTGGCCCAGCCCATTGGGCTTAGCTTGGCCCGGTCCGATGGGCTTTCTCATGCCCTGTATATGGGCCGGGCTTGGGCTTTGAATTTTCTAAACAAGCTCGGCCTGTTATTTTCTCACACGTTTTTAAAGTCTAGCCCAAGCCTATTAAATTTGGGCTGGACTAAGTCCTGCCTAGCCCATTAACGAGGCCTATGTAGTATTGGGCCAGCAAAGGGAATACTATTTTGCCCAATTTCCCCAAAGAAAAAAAGACCCCGCTAGCAATTTTTTTTTCCGGAGCCAATCCCCACCCCCACCCCCCGCGCCCCCCCAGCCCTCTCTCTCTCCCACAACGCACGTCACAAATATTCATATTTGTTCTTGTGCTCAGAATCCTGAGAGAGTGCTCACTCTCACAGGACACAACACTTAGCAAAAACCACATTCCTTGTGAATTAGAAGCCACACTTCCGTCGTTGCCCTAACCCAAAACTACCTCTCTCTCCCTCACCGAAACCATGGGCAAAGCCGTCGTCTCTGACGAAGAAGGTAACCCAGCTTCATCTTCAATTCTCTTTTTCTTACCTCGCATACCTAAAATTAACCCTAACACTAGTCTCACGGCCTTTCTTATGATGTTTGTTCAGATGAGGTCGAGCTCGACGAGGACGAGAGGGAACCCCTTCACGGCGACGCAGTCGATGACCGGGATGGCGACGATGAAGAAGATGAAGACGGTACGGCCTTCTGTTTCTTCATTCGTTTGTTAAATGCATGAAGTTTTCTGTGGGTAAAATTTTTGAGCTCGATGTTGGTCAATATATGGGGGTTTAGTGGATCCATTGGTGAAATTGGGTTTGGGTTAGGGTTAGGGTTTCGGATTTTGTTTGTTTGCAAAGATTGGAGTGGTTTCTTTCGAGGAACTTTAGGGCAAGCGTTGGGGTTTGTATGGATGTCAAGAAATGTAGGGCAATGAAATGAACTCGTCATCAAGATTCTTCGTTTTCATTTAACTTTCCAATGTAATGATGACTGTTTCGTCTTTGCTTTATCCCTTGTATTTGTGTCTTTTATGTTGAAGATCACATTTTCGAAACTTGGAATTTCGTTAACGTGTTTGGTCATTGCTAGATATGTTTTTATTCCTATATAATGATTCTTTTTTTTTAATAGATAATTTCTATGTAATGATTCATCATTCATTTATACTTCCCTTTTCCTTATTTATTTTCTGGTTCATGTTTGTTTTATTTTGTTTTCCCCATGCTGTTGGATGTAGTATTTCACTTTTATTTTTAGTGTTGTTTTGTTCTTCGTCATTTTTCTTGACATCCGAACTTTGTCTCATCTGTTTATCTACTCTTAAGAGTTAACCATGGATCAATTTTTGAATTAGCTTCATCTATAACATTATTGTCATGATTGATTTTTGCAGAAGGGCCAGATGAATATGAGAAGGATGATTTTATAGTAGATGATGTTGATGAAGAAGAGGAGCAAGAGGAGGAAGAAGATAGGGCAGACAGTGATGAAGAGAGGCAGAGGAAGAAGAAAAGAAAGAAAAAGTGAATATTCTATACCCTGAGCTGTAATCTCTCTAAAATATGTGAAGCTTTTCATTGTGAAATGTCTGGAAACAAAAAATCTGGTTTGTTTAGTTTTCCTGACCTTGGACCTGTAGTGTTTTTTATTTCACATGAGACTACTGGAACTATGCGGTAACAAAAGAAAATTGAATTTCTTTGTTATAAGAGTGGTTTTCTTTTTCCCATTTGCAGATGAAGATGAACGCAATGTCAATGAAAATCTTCTTTTTATTTTCTTTTTCTTTTAAAATTGTGTAGCAAGAGGGATAGTTATTCATTTTATAACTTATTTTCTTCTCTCTTATATTCTAGAGAGGAGTATGTCCTTGATGAAGATGACTATGAGCTCCTAGAGGACAATAATGTGATTGCCCCCCGAAGGAAGGCTGTAAGCACTGTCCATATTTTCTTATGGTTCTGTTGAATTTGTAACTTAAGCATTTCTTTGTTTTTCAATGTACATAGTTTATGATTCGAATTCATTCTCTCTCTTATTTTTCTTGTCCAAACCTTTCCAGGGGAAATTTAAGCGGCTGAAAAAAGCTCAGAGGCATGGTGAGGGAGAGCCTGGTGGATTATCTGATGAGGAGGAGTTTGTTGGTAGTGGTAAAAGTGGAAGAACTGCGGAGGAGAAGCTTAAGCGTACCTTATTTGGTGATGATGAAGGTATATATATGCATGCATATGTAGAAC